ATCATGCTGCCCTACTAACATAAGAGAAAACAACTTTAGATCAAAAAACTTCATTAGAGTCTCTAAATAATACTAAAATATTTAATTCACTGAGAATATATAAAACTTTCTAAATATGCAGGCATAAAATAAAATACCCTCAAAATATAATAAGCAAAAATTGAATTATAGGAAGAAATTAACAAATCTACCATCATGGTGGGTGATTTCAACATAGCTCTAAATTACTGATGTGTCCTAAGAAGATATATAAGGAGATTAAAAATATATTTGTAAACTACTAACAAGCATAATTTTATACACACACATTCACAAGTATGAATCACATTCTCTAACGACAACAATTGAAGTGGAAGTTAATAACAAGGTAAGTTTTTAAAAGCTCTATGTATATTTAAGATTATAAAAACTTAAAAACTCAGTAATCAAACTATTATAATGTAAATTTCAAAATCCACAGAAATAAACGATAATGAAATACTAACATACCACATCTTTAAAGGTACAGTGATAGCAGACCTACAGGGGAAAGTTTTATCCTTAAATGTACATTTTAAATAAGAAATTCTGAAAATTAACAAACTAAGTATCTCACTTATAACTTAATAAAATAAAAAAAGAATAAATCTGAATAAAAGAGAAGGAAAGAAACAATATAGTTAAGAGCAGAAATTTTTTTTTTTAAATTTTAGAACAGGTTTAGATTTACAGAAAAACCACAAAGATAATACAGAGAATCCCTATATACTCCATGCCCAGAAGAGCAGCATTTTTTTAAAAATTGAAAACAAAGACACATTGCAGATGATCAACAAAGTCAAAAGTTGGTTCTTTGAAAAGGATAATACACTAGACAAACATCTGGTAAAATCTTATGAAAAAAAAGAGAGAAGAGAGAGGAGGCACAGATACCATTTTAATGCAAAAAGAGACATAACTATAGAAACAGAAGAGTATTCTTTTTTAAATAAGAAAAACTACTAACTATGCTAGTACAGTTAAATGATTAGTAAAATGGATATATCTCTTTAAAATATAACTTAACAACTTACAAAAGAAATAATAGAAAGCAGTCATTACAAATTTTCCCCAAAGAAACCACCTAACAATTACAGAGGCAAATTTTACCAAATTTTCAGGGAAAGAGCATTTCAATTTTGTACACTTCCAAAAAACAGATAAAAATAAGTTTCAGTTATTTAATTAATCCAGAATAATCTAACAATCTTAATTCAAAACTGAAAAAAACACATTATAAGAAAGAAAAAGTCCTGACCAATCTTTCACATAAATATAAATGCAAAATCACAAACAATATTTTGGCAAACCAAGTCCATATATTTATTGAAAGAATAATATGTATGCCCAGTAGGATTTATTCCAGGAATTCAAGAATGGTTTAATATTAAAAAATAAATCAAAATAGTTCTCCAGATTTACAGAATTAGGGAAAAAAAATCCATCAATTGATGAAGAAGTAGAACTTAATAAAATTAAACCTTATTCATGATTTTTAAAAAAATTGCCAACTAGGGGAAAACATGAACTTCTTTTAAACTGAAAAAAAAATATCTGTAAAATCCTACTGTAAATATTATACTAAATAGTGAACATTTAAAAGATTTACTTTTATAATCTGAAGCAAGACAAGGATCTTCACTGTTGCATGTTTTATTCAGCATCATACTAGGTGCTCTAGCAAATTATACTAGATATCCTAGCAAGAGTGTAAAAAGAAAATAAATAAAAAGTCTGAAGATTGGAAAGTTAACAATGAAATTTCAGTTCTAATCATATCAAAGATGACTGTGTATAAAGGAAATCACCCCCCCCCCCCCAAATACACAGATAAATTATTAGGATAGATTGCTGGATAGAAGATTGTTTTGCACAAATCATTTGCATTTTTACATACTGGCAGGAAACAGAAAACTAAATTCAAAAAAGATTTCGGGTAATGTGAAAATATTAAATACTTAGAAATAAACAGATCAAAAGTTGTGTGAAATCTTGATGCAGAAATTTAGAAAAACTATTGAGATTAAGAGAAAAAACTCCTAAAGAAATGAAGGGATTAGAAGATTCAATATTATGAATATGTCTCTTCCCCCCAGATTGATCTACCCATTCAGTGCAATGCCAAACACAACCTTATCGGATTTTCATGTTGGGACTGGGATAGAATGGTAAGTTGATCCTGAAATTTGTATGTAATGCAAAGAACTAAAAATATCCAAGAAACGCTTGAAGAACAAAGTCAGATAAAATTACTTGCTCTACTCCATATCAAACTTTTTTTTTTTTGATGATGAGAAACAATGCCGTATTTTATTTTATTTTATTTTTTGCGGTGCGGGCCCCTCACTGTTGTGGCCTCTCCCGTTGCGGAGCACAGGCTCCGGACGCGCAGGCTCAGCGGCCATGGCTCACGAGCCTAGCCACTCCGTGGCATGTGGGATCTTCCCGGACCGGGGCACGACCCCGTGTCCCCTGCATCGGCAGGCGGACTCTCAACCACTGCGCCACCAGGGAAGCCCCATATCAAACTTATTAAAGTATAATAACTAAATCACTGTGGTATTGGTGCAAGAATGGGCAAATATTCAAGAAGAAGCAAATAGGGAGCCCAGGAACAGACTATAAACATACAGAGCACTTGATAATTTATGAAAATGTCACTTTAGAGCAAAACAATTTCTATAAATCAATAATAAGATATGCAACCCAGTTGTAAACAAAAAAAAGGGCAAGAGGCTTTAACACACAATTTACAAACAAAAATATACACACAGCCAGTAAATACATGAGAAGTTTTCCAACCTCAATAGTAAACAGAGAAATAAAAATTAAAACCTTAATATACAATTCCAGTTTTGGGGTTAAGTAAATTAAGCACACTCCACTCTGTCTCCCTCAATGAATACAGCTATAAAAGGTTGGTAGACTATGTGGAACAGCAAGACACATAAAATTAAATATCAGAGGAGGATTGCAGAAGAAGACCAAAATTAAAAGTGCTACTGAATTGTCAGTGAGTTTGACATTTTGTTCTTCCAGTATTCCCTGACTTGAACTCAAAGCACTGACAACCCCAAAAATGGGCACCTGTTGAGAATCTCTCTGGTTCTGGCTCAAGGAGCTGGAAAAGGAACTCCTAATGCTCAGAGACAGAGCACAGCATTGTTTTGTTCTGTTTTTTTTTCTCTTTTATCTCAACCGTTGTTTGGTATTTCAGCCCCCAAGCACTACCATGGTGATGGTGTTGGTGTCAGTGACTGGTAAAGAGAATTCATAGGAAACAAAATTTGATAATAGGTAACTTCCTGTCCAGTTGGTGAAGCTGGGGTTCCAAGAAAATGGAGCCAAACCCCATTGTGTATTTTCTCTCTCTGTCCTCCCTCGATCAATCACTTGGCCCTAGATGTGAACACAGTTGTGAAATTACCCAGTGGAGGGGATTGTTAGTTAAACCCCAGACTCCTAGCCAGAAGATCAAAAACAGTACTTGACTACCAATAGCAAAAGTAGTAGCAATGTAGTAAAATGTGTGGCAACATTGTAAGAAGGATGGGAGGAATTGGGAATATATGGTCATAAATTCTTATACTATATGTGAAGCAGTATATTATTGGAAGGTAGGTTGTGATTAAAGATAAAAGACACATATAACTACTATATATATAGTTATATATAATATATATGTATATATATGGATATATATAAAACTAATATGACAATAGTTATATATTGATAGTTATATATGTGTATATATATAACTATATATACTGCTATGTAAATAACTAATAATGTGACAATAGTGGAGATAAATAAAACATGAAAAATATTCAATTAACCAAAAATAGGCAGAAAAACAGGTAAGTTAAAGAACAGAATAGAAAAAACTAGCAAGATGGTAGGTTTTCATCTGATTATATCAATAATTAGATTAAATATAAAAGATCTAACCACCAACTGAAAGAAAGTTTGGATCGAAAGCAAGACTCACCTACATGCTGTCTACTAAAACTTCCCATTAAATACAAAGACACAGATAGGTTAAAAGTAAAAAGAGAGAATAAGATATACCATGCAAAACTAATCTAAAGGGAGCTGGTATTTCTATACTAGTAAAAGGCAAGGTAGACGTGAGAACAAAGAATGTTATCAGGGATAAAGCGGGATATTTCATATACATAATGGGGCTAGTTCACCAAAAAGACATAAAAATCCTAAATGTGTATGCATCTAACAACAGAGCTTCAAAATTCATGATAGAATTAAAAGCAGAAATAGGCAATGTAGAAGTATAGTTGTAGATTTTATCATTCTAGCTCAGTAATTCATAAAACAAGTAGATAGAAAATCAGATAGTATATAAAGACCTAAACAAGACTATGAACCAAATTGACCTAATTAATATTTACAGGATACCTCATCCAGCAGCATCAGAGTATGCAATCTTAAAAATTGTACATGAAACAATCACCAAATAGTCCATATACTAGGCCTTTAAAAAGGCTTAACAGATTTTAAATGATTAACATAAAAGATGTTCTCTGATCATAATGAAATTAAACTAGAAACTAATAACTGTAAAATATCTGGAAAAATCCCCAAATATTTGGAAATTAAATAGCACAGTTCTAATTAATTCAAGGGTCAGAGGAAGGCAAATGGAAATTAGAAAATACTAATTTTATTTCTTGAGCTGGGTTATGGTTACCTGGAGTTTCTCTTTATGAAAACTCATAAGCTGTACATTTTGTTTTGTGCACTTTTCTGTATGTGTGTTATATTTCTCAATAAAATGAAATAAAAAATGGGCAGGGCTTCCCTGGTGGCGCAGTGGTTGAGAGTCCGCCTGCCGATGCAGGGGACACGGGTTCGTGCCCCGGTCCGGGAAGATCCCACATGCCGCGGAGCGGCTGGGCCCGTGAGCCATGGCCGCTGAGCCTGTGTGTCCGGAGCCTGTGCTCCGCAACGGGAGAGTCCACAACAGTGAGAGGCCTGAGTACCGCAAAAAAACCCAAAAAGGACAAATTCCTAGAAAAATATTATTTAGCAAACCAAAGTCAGGAAGAAATAAAAAGGGAAATTGGAGCAAGACTGAAAGCTATAGTGGGCAACCTCGTTGGGTAAATTCCCAAACCTCCTCAGAATCCAAGTAAATAAGATAGCAAAGAAAAAAATCCACAGACAAAAGCTAAATACAACAAACTAAATGACTTGTTATCACCACAGACTCCAAAATATAAGTAGGTGCAGCAAAACAGCTACAGCAAGACAAGTGTGGTATTAGTGAAATGCCCAACAAAAAACAAAGGTAAAGCAAAAAGACTTCTAAGAATCCCAGAAACTAAATTGTTAGCATGTATTCACTTCTAAAGCAGTGTCTCTACTCTACAGAGAAAGCTCAGCTGACTGATCTGAGAGGAGCAGACAAATCTATAGTAGAGCTAATGGGTAAGAGCCAGGGGAACACAAAATTAAATTCAGGTGGTGGTGGAGTGATAAGGGTTGTAAGAACTTTTGAAATTAGCCAAGTGAAGCTCTCTTCTAGGACAAAGCCCTACAAACAGGAGAGCTTACTCAGAGAATCTAAATTGAGCAAGACAGAGACAAAATGGCTAAGAAAAGGGACGTTACAGATAAAAATGGGGAAGGAGAAGAGACACATCTCAGAAAGGTCATACTTTTGAACACCTCAGAATAACCACAGGAGGGGAAGCCGGAGAGAGCCGTGAAGCTAGGAGTGTCTCCTTGCCCACACTTCACTACTGAGTACAGGGAAATCATCTTGCTTATACTTGAACAACAGAAAAAGATGACGGCCAAATCCTGAACAGAGCTATGTAACAAAGTTATGTAAAAGTCTCCCTTTTAAGAAGACTAGAAAATTATCAAACCAAGGCCTTTATTAAGTGGTAACAATTTATTGTGTTATAAGATCATATGACACGAGAGAATGATGATGTGTTGTGTGGAGCTTATTAGCATTCACTGTTCTCAAGTTTTGGCAAAAAAAAAAATACTAATATAACTACCATAATATACATAAAACTTAGAGAGGTAGAATTTTTGCTCGGTGATTTCTCATAGTTAAAACTCATCACTGGGTCTGTAAAATATCTTAAAACTTAAAGAAACTTTTCATGATAGTAGAGAAGATAGAAGATGTTTGCACAGTGATGGATGACAGCATAAACCTAGATATATTAAATTCAGGAACGTGCATCACTAACGACAGTAATTATTTCAAGCAGAGAAAAAGTGATCTGAGCCACTACAGAAAACAACATAGCAATAGCTTCTGGCCATTATACAGATTTACAACTCTACACACACTCATTAGTTTCGGCTTTTCTGTTTTCTTCAAACACCTATGGTGAGTATAATGAAATTGGACTAAACAGCCAAAAGAAATAGGCACACACTTGTAGGGGCAGTTATAGGCAGAGTTCAGGTTTTGACTGAATATGAAGCCTTTGACTGTGTTTCCAGCCATGCCCTATTGAACTTCCATTTTTCCAGGCTCAACTTCTGAAATTTTCAGCTTACTTTTTGCTTTCCTCTTAAATTTTGTTGGTTGGTGCACCTTTATTAAAAAAAGGTATTCCTTTTTGTTAATTGCATGAATATGAGTCTATCTGGTGTGACTGCAGCACTTATGTAACTGCCAAAGACAGTCTTATCAAAATAGATGTTTGAGATAATTATATAAACTTAGATATCAAAAATATATTTAAAATATTTAATATGCTAATAAAAGCATAGCATCAGCAGTAACATTTTCAACTGAGAACAGATGATATCTGTTTTATATCTGATATAAAAAATGATTAAATCCAGTGATAAAAATTCTGAAATAATGACTCACTGTTAAGGTTTTGATAAGGTATTAAGTTACTCTTTGTAACTTTTTTTTACCGTTTTACTTTTTCCAATTCCAATTTTCCTTTGATATATTAAAATAAAAACTTTTTATTTCAAATAAAAAACCAGAAAAGCAAAATCTTTTGGCTTGGACTACTGAAGTAGCCTATTTAATCTCCTCACCTCCGTTTCTGCCTCTGCTCTACACTTGACCACCATCTATTCTGTTACCAATATAAGGTATCTTCCTGTCATATTTATTATCCCTCCCTCCAAAATCGCATCAAAATAATAGCAAATGGGTAAAAAAAAAAAAATTTAGTCCGTAACAGTTTTGTGGATTGGATTTGGGAATATCAGAAAACCAAAGGATCAAGATGATTTCTGCAAGATGAAAAGAAGGGACTATTGAGAGATAAGCCAGGGTTGTAGGTAAATCTCAGATACAGAGAAAGATGGATTCATCGAAAAAGCTATTCCTGATCCAGTCATCAGGTATGGAGGGCAAGTTAGGCAACTGGAACATTGTACTCAGGAAGAGCTAGGGCTCCTGGGTTGGGGGCCAGGTGTTAATGCATAGTCAGTCTACCTGCTTGGTTCATACTTGCACAAAGTAAAATCTGCCAGTGGACAATCTTAATACATATTTGTTAAACAAATAAACAAATGCAGAAATATTACTTCTATTATACACTAGCCATAAGGAAAATCACTGACCTGAATTGCAATCCTGGAAGCACTCAGCTCCAGACCCACCGTTAGAGAAATTTCAACTCCACTCACTCCTTAAATGAGACTGGAAAAATCAGGAGAAAATCCTCATCAACAACCTTTTCCGAGGGTTCATATTATCTCAGCCCCCAATATCAATTCACTATTGCTCCTAACCTTCTACTCCCCCACCTCAGCCATTACCGCTGTAGTAGTTTATGACTCTTCTCCAGTTGCTCCTAATTGTTCATTGTTGTAGGTGCTACCATCCTTCTCCAACTCATGCCCTGGGAACCATAGCTCCTTCCACTCCAACAGAGAAATTTCTCTCAATGTGACACTGATTTCAGTCACCTTAGGCAATTGGATTTCTAAGTGATGAAACTCTTTTTTCCACCCCAAGTAGCTATATTCTTTTAGGAAGTTATGTCACATGCCTCAAGAACCAGGCTTGAGCTGTGTAGAGTACTTTGCCCTGGTCTTGGTCAAACTTTATTACCCAAGACCCTTAATCCTGATATTTGCACACATGATCATCAGTTTTAGTCTTTCCTTCACTGTTTCTTCAAACTGCCTAGTGAATCTTATGCACAGAGAATTCCAGTGACCTGCTAAGATGATGCAGATTTCCTGAAATGAATGGTCCCTCTAAGGTAAATTAAATAGTTATCATTACCATTGTCTACTCAAGGTGTTTGGAAGTCTTCCATTTGAGTAGCCTGCTAACTATATTATTTTCTCAGTGACTAAAACTATTTTAGTATCTGATAGAAGAAGTTTTCACATATTGAGGCATAGGGAAGTTATTCTGGCTTATACATGATATAACTTAAAATTTATGCTTATTAGAACAGCCTGTTTTGTGGCTTATTAAACATTCATTGTACATCTGCTTTAACCATTAAATAAAACAATGCATTTAAAAATCAAAATGGAGTAACTGTGGTTCAGGCATTCAAAATGGATCTAGGTGGCCATTGTGGATGTGATTTGAGACATATTCCTGTATCACTGAGAATCTGAACTTTCTGAACTACATCATACTCAAGGACACCACCAGCCATTCTCAAAATAATATCTGCTAGTATAGCTGCCAGCTGCAACATTATGGTCTCAAGTTCTCCCCTAGGAACTACATAACCATTTCAAACCCCGACCAATCATTGCTTAACATGCACTCTTAATTCTTGCCAGATCCAATCTTAATTCTTGACACACAATTTACGTAATTTTGTGGTTTTGCCTTTATAAGACTCCCCCATTTTGTAGTCTGGTGGAACACAATTCAGGTGCTTCTTGAATCTGTGTCTCCAGGGCTACAGTCCTCAGTTTGGCTCAAATAAAACTCTTTTCTATTCCTATTACAGATTGGTTTATCGATTATTTTCATCGACATATCAATTACTTCTTTACTCTTGAAAAACAATTATATATTATGAATGTAATTAGTCTGGCTTATTCACTTGAAGATATTGGTTCCCTTTCTTTTTAGTCATACCATGGTTATTTTGACCTCAGATCTCCCATTGCCTTCCTTTATCTCACTTATCTAATTTTTTTCACCATGTTCCAAAGGTTAACATTTGTCAAGCCAAACTGATCGTGGCCGATAATTCTCAGTGGTTTAACATTGGTCAGTCAAAACAGGAACTTTTATAACTTAAAAACTTGCAAGAATATCCGTGAGAGAAACTTGAGCCAAAAAATACGAGTTGATGCTATGAATTTTGTGTTTCTTGATTTTTTATTCCGCTGCTAGAGACTTTTTCATCTTTTTGTTTTTCCCTTCCATGCATATCAGAATCCCTGCACCCTCCACCACATTGATGCTAACAACGTAGTTTGTATTTTTCTTTGTGTTCATATAACAATGTACACACACATACATGTATACGCATACAGGTTTTGTTTAAAAACAAAATAGGCTCATACACATATTTTCGTGCATCTTGTTTTTTTGCATTCAAGAATACTTTATGAAAATCCTTTAGGTTAGCTGACAGAGCTCTAAGTCATTCATTTTAATGGTACAGTGTGTAGTTGCACTGTGATTTAGTTAGCCCTTCTTCTGTTGATAGGCATCTGCTTTGTTTCCAGTTTTTCATCATTAGAAACAATGCTGCCATAAATATCCTTGTACTAGTGTCTTTCATATGGGCACCTTTATTTCTGTGAGAATCAACTCCTAGGAGAGGAATTGCTGGGTCTATAGGTATAGGTATTTCTAATTTTAATAGACGTTGCCAGATTGCTTTCCAACACTTTGCTTCTCTGCCAACTATACACAAAAAGTATTGCTCTAAAGGTTTTCCTTCTTTCAAAGTACAAAATTTAAAATTTCTATCTCATTAAACTTCAAATGTTCAATATTTTTAAAGGATGAATTGTTACTGATATTGCTTTTCATTAAACATGGTTTAATATAAAATTTATGAATCTAAGTACTATAGTTTCTCTTAATTTTCCAACCTTATCTGCATTAGCAATTTTGCCATCAAATTTAGAAAAGCAAAGGGGACTACACGGATGCTCTTTTCTACTACTTTCCTGGGCACTCAATATCCTTAAAATTCAGTTTACTGCCAAAGCTACTCTAATGGTTTAAAATCTTGCCTTGCAGGATTCAAGTAAAGAATTAGCTCCCCTCCCTACCTCTATGCTAAAAATGGTTTTCCTGTTGATTAGAGATTTTATTTAAACTGAAATTAAGGAGAATGGGAATAAGATGAGGCCACATAATAACATCTCAGTCACAATGTATTCTCAATATAAGGGATTCTAACTGGCAGAAGTTTTTCACTGTTGTCTGTACCCAAAGGCAAACTGTTTTAAGACAGTCTTTCTTGCTTAATACCCGGGTATCATTTTTGAAGTGTCAAATGCCCATTAAGTACTGGTTAATTATAATTATAGACCAGATTCAAAGAGAATACAGATTTGTTTCACTGATATATCTGTAGAAAAAGAGTAGCTCAGAACTATCATATTCTCACAAATTATCTTAAAATGTTTTATTTAAACTAAAAAATATATAAGTACTTATGTAATAGGTCAAGTTTCCATGACTGCACAATAAAGATATCATCTCTGTCAGTATTCTACATTACTTATAACTCTCGAGTTTTTTTTAAAAAACAAGAAACAACTGAGGAAATTCATATTTTAGTACCTAGTATGTCCACGACCCCTACTGTTTTATAATCTCACTTAATGTTTTTTTTTTTAAATGTCAGTGGAATCTGGGAATGAGACCACTTGAAACTTTGATCAGCAATCTGTGTCTCACTATTAACTAAGCTTCAGTAACATGGCACAGAATATTAGAACCAAAAGTTAGACTAGGATGACCCCAAGAAGTCATGTACCCTCGTTCTACACCAGAAGAAATGAGGTCCACAAACATTAAGGTGCTGAGATGACCTGGTTAGTTGTTTATGGTTCCAAGACTAGAATACATGCTTAGTGATATTTTGTCCTAGTGTTCTTCATTGCACAATGTAATATGATTAAATATGAAGAGGTTAAAGTTAGGTAAAGCTCTAGACTGTGAAATACAGAACAGAGGTGACATAGAAGGAGAACTGATAGGATCAAATTAGTTGGTTCCCTTAGGAAAATTACTGGCAAAGAGGTGGAAGGGTGATGGAAAGAGGTATTGATAACAAATTTCCTAAGTGACAGCTTTGTCCAGGGCCAATGCTGCAGACATATAGCATTTTAAATCAGCATTAAACCTACTATAAAGACTCTCACAAGTAAAAAATAGTATGGATGGTGGTCTTTCAAGGTTACATCCTTTCATCTACTCTCTATGGCTGTTTTACAACACTCCAGAAGATTCTGTACAGTGCTTTATTTTAGCTTTGCTCTCATTAAGGACTCATAAACTTAATTACTTAATATTCCTTAAGAAACACAGCTTGAAATAATTACTTCATTAGAGAAATTTAGCAGTGTTCAGACTCTCTTGAATAGATTCTTGCTCTAGAGTTGCTGAAGGTTTTATTTGTTCTTTCGTTTTGACTGCAAACTTTTTAATCTTCACATCGCCTGTACAATTGCATTTCAAATACCATTTAAGGAGAAATTTTTTAAAAACCTGCAGTAAGTCATTTTGAAGGATGTTCCTTATTAGCATAAACCACAGCTTAAAAAGTTCTAGAGATGTGAACTATTGGTAACTACTATGAGCTATATGGTATATGGTAAAAGAATAAAGAAAAAAATTGGTTTTAAATAAATGGTTTTAAGCATAGCATTTCATTTATAATGGATTGATATATTTAATGAAATTTGTGGAATAAGTAAAATACTACATCATGTTACTCTACTGCTGAAAAATCTTCAGTATTACTTACAACCTACAGGAGAAAGTCTGAATTATTTGGCCAAGCTTACCTTCCCGTATTTTTCCTTAAACAAAACCTCCACTCTAGCCAGAGGGCTCTACTGAAACTCCACTGCTCCTTAAGGCTCTCGCTGCTCAGGCTACTCTCAATATGCCCTCTGCAGCTCCATTCTGCGTGCTCCCTGCTGTTTTGCTTTATTCCTATCCCTTCCAGATGAAAATCCTGCCCCTCCCATGATCAGCTCAAGGTATTGCCTCCTCCCTCTGAGTCTTTCTACCACCTATTGTTCTTGATATTGCTCAGGATTTAAAAAATAGGAACCTGTACACTTGCCTTTTCTGTTGTATGAGTTTTAACGACTCTCAGTCATAAGCACTTGAAGGAAGAGACTGTCTTATACTTGATGTCTGAGAGTAGACTCTCAAATACTCATCAGTTTGAAATTTATTTCATTATCAAACAATCCTATAATATGGAAGTAAATAATTTCCATGTACAGCAGGTATGAGTTTAAATATTGATCACTGCTTATATTGTACTATTAATAAAAATAAACAAGGAATTTTAAATGATCTATATAATATGATCACAATTTTGTCCATATATAAAGATTACATTTCACTTCATGAGAAATATTGGAGATATGTATATATAATGTTAAAAGAGATATATTTGGGTGGTAGAGTTGTTATAAAGATGAAATATGCATACAGGTACCTTGAAAACAATAAATCACTATACAAACTTACAGAGTTTTTGACACTTTTTTCTTGGAGTTATTCTGTCTTTTCAGTGATGATATTAGATGTATTCTGTATACTCTTCTAAACTTGTCACTTCTGTTTCCTCTGTTTTTTTTTTTTTTTTTTTGCGTTTAGCTCTTTGGGGAGAATTGGGCTTTCTGAAATCCTGGTGAGCCTAAGGCTGTGATGCTGCTCAAGTATGTCTGAGCCCTGATTCAGCTTTCTTCCCTAGGATGAGGATGTAGCCTGGATGTAGAGTTTGGGTCAAGGACCAGCAGAACCAAAGACTGTAAACAATTTCTTTAACCAGAAGAACATGAAGTTTGAGCAAGCTCTTTCTGAGTAATGATATGAGCTCCAAGAATAAAATAATGGTAACAAAAGAAATTGAGCTTTTTGGAATCTTAGACCACATTTTGCAGATTTGCTGGCAGATAAGCTTCTCTTGTTATTGACTTAGGGGTAAAGAAAGTAGAATTAGGTTATATATGCTAAAAAGTTATCATATAGAATAAGATTCAAAATACCTAACTCTGGTCAAATTTGAGTTCACTGATGAGATTGATACTCTAATGGCTATCTTTAGATGTCCCAGCCTTCATCTATAGAAACAAGGCTTCCTTGATAGTACACATATCTACTAGTCAAATGGTATCTATTATGTCTGCAAAACTGTTTGCTGAGTGCTAAAAATATCAATGAAGGGTATGATGAAACTTTCTTAACTGCTTTTGTGCTAGACAATACACTTCGATTTTCAATATGAAATCCCATAAAACACTATGAAATTAAGAATATACCTATCTAGGATCATCAAAAATTATTCCGAAAGGGGAGCAGAAATGGGGAAACTCAAAGAAGCTGACAGGGTATTTAATGCTAGATACCATTAAAAACAAACAAACAAACACACAAACAAAAGCATGTGATTTCAGTCACTTAACGCAAGGTTACAGTCCAATGACGGTTGATAGGGAGGTTTTGTTCTTCACAAATTTAAGCATCCAGGCTCTAGGGGCAAAGAGAAAGAGAGCTCATAGAGAAGGCACACCTGTCCTTTATGCTTTGGTCTGCTCACTTAACATTGGTTAAGCTGATTAAATGACCTGAAATATACTTAACCTAGGAAGAGGAAACCGATTGGTGAATATTAACTAGTCTCTGCTGTACCCATCATCCATTCTAATGAATTTTTTTTCAAGTCAAAATAATTTGATAGCAAAATGATGGTAAGCAAAATACTAATTTGAAAATTTTTCTCTGAGGAAAATAATAAGAAAAACGTAGGCAGTTATGGAGATAAGTTTGGTTTGGAGCATTTTGGTTTTCATTATCTGATGATTTACAGTGAAACTGTAGTTAATTTTATTTGATGTTGTAAGAGGAATGATTACATTTTACAGGTGCTCTGAAAAGGATGAACTTTAGCATTTTAGGAAAAGGCTAAATGTAAATGTTATTCAATAAAGAACAGCTGACACATATTATAATGAGAGCAGATAAATGCTTAAATCCTGGATTAGATGATCAAACGTTAACAGCCAACATTTTAATAACTGTCTCCCCCAATGTATCTCAAAAGCACTCTATTAGCAAACATGACAGTCCAATTATTTCCATGGTGCTCAGTATTTCATGGTGGCCTATTGCCAATGGTAGAATATGGGGTGGGAAGTGTGTCAAAGAAGTGATTTTAAAAGCTAAAATACTGCTAGTGCTGAAAATTCAGGGTTTATGTGAGGCTAACCATCCTGACCCTGTTTAAACTCATCAGATAAGTAAATACATCGGCACCTACTTAAGTAATAACTCTTTTAATATTCTGCGGAAAAAACTGTAGGTAAGTCAATTTTGCTACAGAAAACATGTCAGTAAAATTTTATGTCACAAAAAAAGAAAACTTTTACCTGAAGATAAAACAATTCAAAAATACATTGATAATCCCTTATACATTGATCTGGTCTATACTGCTACATCTAGAGTATAAAAAATTTAACCTTTCAAAACAGGAAAGAAATATAGGAAAATGGAATAAACTACAAAAATGTGTCATTTTGGATTGTATAGAACTTTTATTTCTTTCTTGCCATTTTATAACTAATAAGGAAAATATAAATAGGAAAATATAATGTTACTCTTGGAAAAGTTTGAATGAGGGAAAAGATTAGAACCATACCTGACGGAGTGCCTGATCTACAGTAGGAATTTAAGAAAGGTATACTGAATGACTAAATGAATGAACAAATAATAAGAATTGAAAGAGAACTGAACTTGAAGTCTGAAGAATTAGGCTCAGGCTATGCTACCACCAGCTAGCCACACAAGAGCATATAATAATAGCTATAACTTATTGAATGCTTACTAAGGAGTTCTTACAAACACATGCATTACATCATAATCCTATAAGGCAGGTACTACAGCTATGCTCATTTTACCAAGTAAACTGAGGCACAGAGGAGTTAAATAACTTGATGATGAAGACAGACATGGGATCTAAATTCAAGCAGTCTGCCTCCTGAACTTTCATTTTACCCACTGCATTATATTTCCCTTCTATGTGATCTTGGGAATTCCTCATCACTTTCTGAGTTACAGCTTCATCATCCATGAAGCTAAATAGGTTATACCATCTAACATGGATATGGAATTATATGTGTAATTAGTACTCTAAACCAGAGTTGGCAAAAGTTCCCTGTAAAGGGTTAGATAATAATAAATATTTTAGGTTTTTCAGGCCATACAGTCTCTGTCACAACTCTTCAACTCTATCATTGTAGCACAAAAGCAATAGATAATACATAAACAAATGAGCACTCTGTCCCAACAAAACTTTATTTACAAAAATAGGCTGTAGTTTGTTTCATGTCTAAAGTATCATATGCAATAAAAGAATAGTAAGGCAAGATTTAGCAAGAACCTAGCATTGTGCTAGGAGAGATCTTGACATCTCAGATATTTAAGTCTTCTGCCTTTAGAACTATGTCATTTAGGCATATAACTATCTGTCCCTCTGATGGTTTCTAGGAAGAGAGACTATACAGATTCAAACACCAAATTCATCTGTCAGTTTTTGTAAATACAAGATAAGAACACATTTGCAAATATGATGTATTTCAAAAAGGTGTAGTCTGGTTTCCAAATCATGGTTAGATTCTCAGGCTAGGTCTCAGAAGCTTATCAGACACAAGTTATAGCCAAAACAATACCCATAGGCAATAATACCCTCAAACACATGCAAACACTCATGTGCACACATACAGAAGGAAAACTCTTATACATAACACATTTTAGTTACAACCTTTGCTAAACAGAATTTAGTGAACTATTATTTCTACTAAATACACATTCCACAGTAAACAGAAAACATATTTGCACCAAGAATGTTGTATGTTATTTCCTCCCTGCTGTACTGAATCAAGGATCTGTGGGGGAAATTTGGTTTAATATCTCTAACTCTGTTGTTTCTGTATCAATGTCATAATTCAAAATAACTTTTATATTTCATTCAGTAAATAGTCTGAAACTCTGCTCTGTGCCTAGCACTAGGCTACAATTTCTGGGAGATAGGAATTAATCAACTTTGTCTCTATCCGTAGGATGCTTACACTACATACATGCACCCATATGTTCATAGCAGCACTATTTACAATAGCCAAGACATGGAAACAACCTAAATGTCCATCGACAGATGAATGGATAAAGATGTGGTATATATATATATATGTGTGTGTATATATATATATACACACACACATATACACATATATATATATACACACATATATACATATATATATATACACACACACACATACACACAATGGAATCTTAGCCATAAAAAAAGAATGAAATAATGACATTTGTAGCAACATGGATGGACCTAGAGATTATCATACTAAGTGAAGTAAGTCAGAAAGAGAAAAACAAATACCATATGATATCATTTACATGTGGAATCTAAAATATGACACAAGTGAACTTATCTATGAAACAGAAACAGACTCACAGATATAGAGAACAGACTTGTGGTTGCCAAGGGGGAGGGGGGAGGTTGGGGAAGGATGGACTGGGAGTTTGGGATTGGCAGATGCTAGTTATTATACATAGAATGGATAAATAAAAGAATCCTAAAGTCCTACTGTATAGCACAGGGAACTATATTGAATATCCTGTAATAAACCATAATGGAAAAGAATATGAAAAAGTATATATATATATGAAACTGAATCACTTTGTTGTACAGCAGAAATTAACACAATATTGTAAATCAACTATACTTCAATAAACTAAATTTTAAAAAATCAATGAAGGGACTTTCCTGGTGGTCCAGTGGTTAAGAATCCAACCAGCAATACAGGGGACGCGGGTTCAATCCCTCTTCAGGGAACTAAGATCCCACATGCTGCGGGGCAACTAAAGCCCGTGCGCCACAACTAGAGAGCCCGTGCACCACAACTAATGAGCCTGCATGCTCTGGAACCCACGTGCCACAACTGCAATGAAGAGCCCATGTGCGCAACAAAAGATCCCGCATGCCACAACTAAGACCCGATGCAGCCAAAAACATAAATAAATAAATATTTTAAAAAATCAAGGAAAAGGAAAACTTCAAAAACAGGAAAAAAAGTTTATACTTAATTTTGATATGGCATTCCCAAAGAAAAGTGTTTATTAATGATACATTTTTGGAATAATAATGCTGGCATTAAATAACAATGAGAGTTAAAGCTTTTTTTAATTATTATTTTCAAAAAAAGAAAAGAAAGAAATACATCTAATAAACTAATGAAGGACATAATATGAAATCAACTAAAACATTCAATTAATCCAAAAGAATGCAGAATAAAAAACAGGGAACAAAAACATATAAATAGAAAACAGACAAATAGAAAACAAATAGCAAGATGATAAATGTAAATATAAAATATGAACCCCAAAATATCAATAATTACATGAAATGTAAATGGTCTAAACATCCTAATTAGAAGGCATGATTTGCCAAATTTGGGGGTGGGGTGGGTAAGGGAAACCCAGAGCTAATTCCTTGCTGTTTACAATAAAAATCACCTTAAATATAAAAATACATAAGGGTAAAGTAAAATAATGGAAAAAGGTCATGCAAATCCTGAACAAAAAACCAAAAACCTAAATATCAAGTAGATTTTAGAGCAAAAAAAATTACTAGAGATAAACACAGTCATTTCATAAGGATAAAGAAGCCAATTCATCAAAAGGATATAATAATCATAAAAGTTTATACACCTAATATTGTAAATTTGAAATTGAGTTTCAAAGTACATGAAGTAAAAACTGATAGAACTAAAAGGAGAAACAGACAAATGCACAATTATGGTTAATCTCAACATTACTCACAATACTTGCTAAAACAGCCAGAAAGATCAGTAAAAATATACAAGCAACAGTATCAAACAATTTGATCTAATTGAGATTCATAGACCACTCCACACAAAAACAGCAAAATATATACTCGTTTTAAGTATACATAAACCTTTTACAAGGTAGATAATATTCTGGGACACAAAACAAGTTTCAATAAATTTAAAAGGAATAAAATCATATAAGGAATGTGTGACCACAATGAGACATTAAAAATCGATAACAGAAGTAAACTTGGAAAATCCCCAAATATTTGGAAACTAAATTACATACTTCTAAATAATCCACAGATCAAACAGAAAGTCAAAAGGTAAATTATAAAGTATTTCTAACTAAATGAAAATGTATAAACAACATAACAAAATTTGTGGATGCAGCTAAGGCAAGTACTTTACAGGGAGTTTTATAGCAATGAACACCTATACTAGAAAAGAAGGATTTCACATAAATGACTTTAAGAAACTAGAAAAACAAGAGCAAATGAAACTGAAAGTAGAAGAAAGGGAATAATAAAGTTCCGAGTGGAAATCAATGCAACAGAAAAATAGAGAAACTGATGAAACTAAAAGCTAGTTCTTTGAGAACATCAATAAAATTCATAAACTTCTAGCCAGACTGAAAAGGAAAAAAAGAGAAAATACAAATAAACAAAACCAAAAATGAGAGTGGTGACATCACTACAAATTCTATACGTATTAAAAAGGGTAGTAAGTTTCTATTACGAATAAGATGATGACAATAAATTTGACAACTTAATGAAACGAACAAATTCCTTGAAAGAAACAAACAAAAGCTTACTTAACAAAAAGAAACTTTGAATAGCCATGTGTCTATTAGGGAAATTAATTTTGTTAGAAATCTTATCACAAAGAAAATTCCAAGCTTCACTGGAAAATGCTACCAAAGCTTTAAGGGAAAAATATCATTTATACACAAACTTCTAGATAATAAAAGATAAATACTTCTCAACTCATTTTATGAAGCCAGCATTCCCTGATATCAAATCAGAAAAAGAAAACTACAAATCAGTATCCCTCATACACATATATACAGGGCTTTGCTGATGACACAGTGGTTAAGAATCCACTTGCCAATGCAGGGGACACGGGTTTGAGCCCTGGTCTGGGAAGATCCCACATGCCACGGAGCAACTAAGCCCTTGCGCCACAACTACTAAGACTGCACTCTAGAGCCTGCAAGCCCCAACTACCGGGCCCATGTGTCCTAGAGCCCATGCTCTGCAACAAGAGAAGCCACCACAATGAGAAGCCCACGCATCACAAGAAAGAGTAGCCCCTGCTTGCTGCAACTAGAGAAAGTCTGTGTGCAGCAACAAAGACCCAACTCAGCCAAAAATTAATAAACTTAAAAAAATAGACATAAAAATTCCTAATAGAATTTTAACAAATCGAATCTGACAACAGGTAAAATTGATAAAATATCATGACCAAGTAGAGTTAATCTTAGGAATGCAAGGTTGGTTTAACATTTGAAAATGTCGGTAAGTCATCATATTAACAAACCAAAAACAAAAACAAAAAAAAGAAAACTCATGGTTGTTTTAATATAAAGTATCTGATAAAAATTATTTTACAGTGGAAATTCTATTCCTGCAACTCCCACAAAAATAATAGAAAGGATCTTCACCTACCTGATTAAGGCATCCACGAAAAACCTACAGATAACATAATAGTTAATGCTGAAACTCTTCCATTTTAAACTGTCTCCTCTTCTGTTACTTTGAATGAAGCGTCCATGTTCCAGGCAAAGGCTAATTCCAAAAGTTATTAACTAGATACCATTCCCCTACCACTTATCATGACATTCACTCTAGCATTTCTCTTTTCAGCATCATCAGTTTTTCCTTCCTTACTACATCATTTCTACCCACATGTTTCCCTTTCCCATCTTTAAAAAGTCTTTTGATCCCATGCCTACTCTAGCTACCACATGCATTCTCTTTCCCTGTAACAGCAATACTCCTAGAAAGAGCAGTTTCCAAAATCTTTTCCCTCAGCATCATTTAAACCGGCTCCAAACTTTTGCCCTCACTACTCCATCAAAACTACTCTTATCAAGTCAACAAATTCAAAGGTCAATTCTCATTTATCTTTATAACTGTATTTTCAGTTTTAAAATTATTCACCTTCACACAAAGACAGTGGACTCTCTGAATGGAGGTGCTGTATCTCATTTATCCTACCTTGAATATTAAAAATATTTCATTATATGTGTAATACTCACAATATGTCTGTATAATGAATGACCAAAGAAATTTCCTTAACATCTTGGAACTGGAAAATCAAACTAGAGCACACCATAATTTAATAATCATAAATTTAGGTAGAATCCTGTTAGCAAGTTTAGATGAATTTCTGAGACTTACTTTACTTTCACAGATTCTTTAGATGCCTAAACATGCAGAGGCAGAACTACAAAGATGCAATTTTGAAAACAGATATTTGAAGATGTATATATGAACACTTAAATTTTTCACAAATTTGTTTACATTGTATTATAAAATATAACTATAATAAATCCTGTAAAATGTATAAAGTCCTCCTTCACAAATTAGAAATAAGTCCTAAGAACTTACACTTTAAATAATTAAAAATAAAATGGAGAAGCAAGACAGGGCTGTATTTATTTCTACTCTAAAGAGTATTCTTAAAATAAAAATAGGTACAAAAATAATTCACAATGGTAGCTACAAGAACTACCATATTTTATAATGTTATTTCACCAAATTGCTAAGTCATTGTTCATAACATATTTATCAAATGAAAATGAAAGCCTTCTGGCTCCAGCTGAAGTCACTTTTCCACAATGTAATGATTATCTAGATCTTGCTTCAGTTTTCAATCAAAATCACCAATGAATATTATAAAATTAAGTTATAGTTCCTTCTCCATTTGTATTTCCAATTACCATGTAAGACCTTTTAAAAAGAAATAAAGCTGCAAGTTTCTCAGGACCAATAACAACGTCTCAGGAACAGAATGGGAAAAAACAGAAACAGGTACTACAGGTTCTGTGGAACAAGCTTTTCAAAATTAAGTTTGAAAGTAGACAAAACTTGGTGTTTTGAGTAACCTGGGGCTTTCTTACTTAACTCACATCAGCCAGAGCTAAAGTGAGCAATATGTCAAATTAACTTGCCCAATTTTCTTTTCTTAACTTTTTCAGTGCCCTTTAGGAACACCATTACTGAGAAGCTGCTGTTGGCATTTACAGCACAAAAACTGATTTTGGAAGGTTGATACTACAATCGCCTAAATATCACAAAACTGAAAATTGTATGGTACCAGTTATTTCAAC